CACTAGGTGGGAGCGGCCTCCTCCCCCGGCCCTCCCTTCCTGCCGCCGGCCCCCTCCCCAGGCCCCTCCTCCCAGCCGGGCTCCCGCTCACCCCTGCCACGTCAAAGGAGGCAGAAGGGGAGTCGCAGCACAGAGGGACCGTGGCTGGCCGGGCTGGGAGGGCACAGGCTGGGACTGGGGGGCCTTGGATATCCAGGGGACGGGGTCGAAGCGCCTACTGGATGGATGGACAGACACTGCTGCCGGGATAGACCAGAGGACACCTCCACTCCGTCTACCCAGTGTTTAGACTATCTGTTCAGGACTCCCAAATTGTACAGTAGTCTGCACATTGGTTAGGCTGGGCTGGGTTAGACCCTCGGCGCCGCGCTGGAGAGCTGGACCGACCCCCGCCTGCCATCCCAGATCCGGAACTTGGACTTAGGGCCAGGGGATTGGGGGGCACAGGGTGGGAGGGAAAGAGGTGCAGAGGGCTGGGGTTACCCACCCTGCTGGGGTAGTGGTGATGGCGGGTGGGCGGTGGAGGAAGACAAGGGAAGACAGGGGTCCTGGGGTCTGGGGGTGTGGGTCTGTCTGCCTGGGGGCCAGCCTCGCCCTGAAGACCAGAGGGCAGGTGGCTGGGTGGACGGGGAGGCCAGACTGTCCTCAAGCGTAGACCACCTCCAGGTCCCCAGCAGGCTTAGTGCAAAAGTCCACCGACACCCACCCACGCATGCACCTCGGCATTCGCCCAGGTTTTAAAGTTCACATCCATAGTTCAGGCGCACACGCACAGCACAAGTGCCCGCGCGCACACCCAGACAACACACAGCCTCACAATGGACCTGGCCCCTCCCCCACCCATCCCAAACACAAACCCGAATTCTCGAAAGCCCCACGCTCGCAGCCTCCCTCCCGGGCCCACTCCCCACCCGCTCCCCTCACACCCAGGCATTGCACGCACACCAGGAGTCACACTGCGGCACACACACTCGTCCTGGTGCTTTCAGCCCAACACCTTCACCCACGAAGCAGTTACACGAGCACACACAGGGCTCAGAAAGGACCCATAGCCGAGGGCCTGAGGACAGGGCACCCTCAGTTATGTCTGCCCCTCCCCAGGGTGGCCAGGCATGGGCCCTTAGCCCCCGTCACACTGACCCCCGATGAAGAGCCCCCATACAGGAGCACCAGACCCATGGGGGTGACCAGGGCGCCTGCCAGGGTGACAGAGCCAGAAGCCAACCCCCTACCCAGGTCCCACACCACTTCGACCTCCATCTCTTTCAGGGGCCCCCAGGCTGAGGGAGAGGCCAGGGTTGGGGTAATGAGGTCCACATGGCTTGGCGCCCCTGCTGGTGACAGCAAAGGGTCCCACCCAAGGTGGGGAGGTGGGGACTCTGCCCAGGGCATACTTGGAGAAGTCAGGGACCAAGAAGGGGGCATGGGGAGCAAAATCTCCCCATCCCAGCCCCACTTTTCCTCTGAGAGCACCCTATCTCCGACAGGCCCCTCAGGAGAAGAGGGTCCCTTCCCCCACGCCTTGGCCAGCTGGAGTTCATTAGCACAACCCCCAACCCTCCCCTCTCTCTGGTCACCTCTGGAATCCAGATGTGGAAGCCAAACAGACTCACTCTTAAAGGAGACCAGCAGCAGGGGAAGGAGGTGGCAGAGGCTTCTGGGCACCCTGGCCATCGGGGAGGTGTTTTAGGGCTGGCACTGCAGGGCACCATCACCCCTTGTCCCTTGGCCTAGGAGCACCCTGTGCGGCGCCCCTGGATAGCAGGCACTGAAGGGACTGGGGTGCAGGGGTTAAATGGATGTCTGGCAGCTGGACTTATGTGTGTCATGGCCTGTGGGGGCCACAGAGGAGGCGGCACGCCCTGGAGCAAGAAAACAGGAAGATCACTGGGATGGGGAGGGGCACCCACAGCCTCTGCCCACCTTCTCCAGGGTGCTCAGCTCCACGTCCCAGTTCTGCCAGGCCACCTTTTCTTGCCAATGTGGTGGACAGAGAACCTCCCCAGGGCCCCCGGCACTTCCCGCTGCTGGTCCCCACGCCCCACCGTTACCCACAAGACTTTCCCTGTGTCCCGATCTGGTCCACCCCAGGCCACCAGCCCAACCCTATGAGAACCCGTGGCCCCTCCACTTACCTCGTCATCCTTATACCAGGACAGGTTCTCAGCGGTGAGCACAAACCAGTACTCCTTGGAGCCCCCCTTCATGATGCCAATGTTGTTGATGGTCAGCCAGCCCTTCCGGATGACCTGGGGGCGGTGGGCAGGAGATCAGTAGGTGGGACCTGGGCTTCCCCATGAAGGAGGTGTGCGCAAACAGAGGCATGGAAAGCCCACCTTTCTCCCTGTGCTTGAGGCCCGGCTGGTCAGGGAAGGTGGGGGCCAAACCTGCCTGGCTTGACCCCCAAGGGACCAGACAGGAAGGCAGAGGAAGGCAGAGCGCATCTCAGAGTAAAGACCTGTCTGAGCAAGGGACTGGCAACTTCAGTTCAGAATGAGCTCCCCTTTTAGCACTCAAGTGAATTCTGCTTGCTTGAAGTTTGCAAACATAGTTTTATAGTTGATTGGGCAAGACAACTCCAAGTGTGTTTTCAGTTTAAGGTCTAATCTAGTCTAACACTTGTTTCTGACCTCAGGGACTTTGCATATGCTAGAAAGCACTTCTTCCTTTTCACCTGGCAAATACCTAAATCATCCTGGGGGTATCAGCTCAGAGTTGCTATTCCCAGGAAGGCCCCAGTGTAAATCACACTCCTTGTAGTAATAATCTTTGATCACTCTCTTAGGTCTTCTTCTATATAACAATGACTGCAATTTTAAGAAACTTCTGTGTATGTTTTTTCTTTTCTTTTTTTTTTTTTTTTTTGAGACAGGGTCTCACTGTGTAGTTCAGGCTCTTGAGCTATGTAGCCTAGGCTGGCCTCGAACTCATGGTGATCCTCCTGCCTCAGCCTGAGTGCTAGGATTACAGGCATGCGCCGCCACGTCTGGCTAAAGTCATGAACTGTCCTGCTCATATCCCAGCTCCATGCAGACAGTGAGTGCTGATACGAACAGGTGAGTGCCACACTGGTGTGGTTCTAGAACCTTTGGTGCAGGTCCAGGAAGGCAGACAGAAGAGGCTGAGCATGTGGACTGTCCAGGTCCCCTTCTTCCTAGTCCCCACCCCAGCAGGGATACTTCCGCTCTGCCTGGGGCTCTGGGGACCTCGGCAGGGCCCTGCCTGAGGCCTGCTTCTCAGCCGAGCTGCCCTGTGGCGTTACTTTCATTCATATTTTTTTTTTTTTTTTTTTTTTTTTTTTTTTTGAGACAGGGTCTCACTGTGTAGTTCAGGCTCTTGAGCTATGTAGCCTAGGCTGGCCTCGAACTCATGGTGATCCTCCTGCCTCAGCCTGAGTGCTAGGATTACAGGCATGCGCCGCCACGTCTGGCTAAAGTCATGAACTGTCCTGCTCATATCCCAGCTCCATGCAGACAGTGAGTGCTGATACGAACAGGTGAGTGCCACACTGGTGTGGTTCTAGAACCTTTGGTGCAGGTCCAGGAAGGCAGACAGAAGAGGCTGAGCATGTGGACTGTCCAGGTCCCCTTCTTCCTAGTCCCCACCCCAGCAGGGATACTTCCGCTCTGCCTGGGGCTCTGGGGACCTCGGCAGGGCCCTGCCTGAGGCCTGCTTCTCAGCCGAGCTGCCCTGTGGCGTTACTTTCATTCACCCCCTCATTCCATGATCTGGACAGGCCCAGCCTTGCCTGCAGGGTCAGGGAGGGAAACATCCCACAAATGCACAGCTTCCTGTGAGCCAACTGCAGTGTCTGGAACTCATGGGCTAACGCTGAGGCCTAGCAGGGCCTTTTGATGTGGGAAGGTTTCTGCAGGTATCCGAAGGACAGGGAGCAGGGAGCCAGGTGGAGAGGGGCTTGTCTTGACTTTGTATTCATCTTTTTGTTCAACTCTCTGGTGGAGGAGCTGTTGGCTTCCTGAAAATGTCTCTCACACATAGCCATTCACCCAGCCATCCACCAACAGACGTTTAAGGAGTACCTACCTAGTGCCAGGCCACCCCCACACAGTCTGGCTCTGCCTGGAGCAAGAAGCCTGGCTCACACATGAGGACGGATGGGCAGATGGGACTGTGCGTGTGGCCAGGCCTTGCTCTGGCCCAAGCAGGTGTGGAAGGCTCATGTGCTGGCGTGTGCAAGTGGTTCAAGCCAAAAGGTGCCCTCTTGTCCTCGGTGGGCCCCGACTACCGAAGGAGCCCCTCCTCCCCCTCACTGCACAAGCCCACAGCCCCAGTCCTGGTACTCACCAGAATCTCATCCTGCAAAGAGGTAACCATAGCAACCACGAGAAGCATCGGGAGAGAGGAGAGAGGGTTACTGAGGCAGAGTGGGAGGCTCGTGGCTGGCAGGTGACGGGCTCCCTGGCCCCCATGGGACCCTTGCCCTTGCGGGGAGGGGGTTTTCAGAGCTCGGCGTCCGTCCGGCACCCTCCATCGCTCGGGCTGGGGCGCTGGGGCGCACTCACCTGGTTCCCGGAAGCCTTCTTCTTGTTCATCTGGTTGCTCCTCTGCTGAGCACTAGTGGGACGGAGGGGAGGAGTCTCAAGACCTCTCCTCTCCAGAGGTCCGGCCCCAGGGCCCGGTGCTCTGGGTTAACCGGGGAGCCCCGCACTCTCCACACACAGGCGCACCTGCCCCCGAGGGAAGCACTCACTTGGCAAAGCCTATGAAGTCTTCGTGGTTGGTGTTCATGTACGCCAGCTCGATGTCGATGAGGAGCATGACCTTCGCGGGCACCCAGGCCAGCGTGCAAGTGGAAAAGACACCACAGAGTTTACAAATGCACAGCCCGCCGGGAGGGAAACACTGGCCGCGCGTACAGAGGTTAGCGTCCTCAGTAAATAAACACCCGCTGCGCCCAGTCAGTGAAGGACAAGGAACACAGTCAAAATAGCTGAAGAGCGTGGGTCGGTGATCCAGAGAAGAATCCCTTGCAACCAATGAGGATTTGTCAGAACCGCTCACCCTCATTAATAAAGAAAGGGAAGTTAAAACAATGAGATCCTTTTCACATCTACTGAAGAATAATATGCATTGGTAAGGATTAGTTTGGGCACAAGTACAGGGAGATGGACGGCCTCACACACTCTCAGTAGAAGGATAATCTTTTGTTCATTTATTTATACCGGGGATCGAGTGAACTCCGGTCCCTTCCCTTGCAAAGCAGCCACTGGAACCACTAAGCGAAATCCCTGGCCCCTTCTTTCTTTTCAGTTTTTGAGACAGGATCTCCTCTGCCTATGTACTCCAGGCTAGCTTTGAACTCACTCTGTAGTGAACAGTGATTCTCCCGCCTCAGCGTCTAGGGTGCTGGGATTATACGTGTGTGCCACCATGCCTGGCTCAGAAGTATAATATTTAATTCCATGCTGGGGATTGAACCCAGGACCTTGCATATGTGCCAGGCAAGTGCTTACCTGTGAGAGACACTGCCAGCCCCAGAAGTACAATTATCAGGCTCCGGAAGACAGTTTGGCAACATTTAACAACATTCAAATGCACACACCCCCTTCTAAGATTGTGTCTCATGGATAACTCATAAATAAACAGAGACAGGTACCACAGTGCTCAAAGTAGCATAAGGTTTTGAGACAATGTCTTGTTCCATTGCCCGGGCGGCTTCAGATTCCTAGTTTCATGCAATCCTGCTTCAGCCTTCTCAGTAGGCAGGACCACAAACTCATGCTACGGCATGAGCTCTAGTATGATTTACAATAGAAAAAAAGAGAGAAAAAGATGAAGAACAAGCCGTCAGAAGGTGGAATAGATTATAGTACTCTAAACAACGAAGCACTCTGCAGCTGTTCAAAAGAATACGAAATTTTAGGTTCTGGTATGGGAGACAGCCTCACCCCCACAAGTTATTAGTGTGCAGGGACTCGTGACTGAGTCTTTGAATCCTGATGAGAGGGATCTCCTAGAACCAGCCTGCTGGATCCCTGCTGCGTCCTGTGAGCCTGCGTCTGTCCTCACTGAGCCCAGATTCCCACTGGACCGGTAAAGACCAAAGAGATGGCTGGGGCAGCCCTAGGCACTGAACAGAGGTTAAATATTACAACTATCTTTAGAGATGACAAGAACTGTGGTTCTTTAAGAGAAAGTTAGACTCTAGCGGGGTGTGGTGGTGCATGCCTATAATCCAGCACTTGGGAGGCTGAGACAGGAGAATTCTCAATTCAAGACCAGCCTGGGCCATGTAGCAAGATTTGTCTCAAAGTAAACTATGAAAAGGGTTGGGATGTAGCTCATGAATGAGTGGGCCGGGGTTCAGCCTGTAGCACTGAA